TAATAGTAATAGTGGTGGTAGTACTAGTACTGGTGGTAGCAGTCGTAGTAGTAACAGCAGTAGCAGTAGCACGAGCACAGACTTGCCCCAGTTGTAGTAGTAGTGGTACGAATACCGAACAAGGCAGTAGTAGTAGTAGTAGTAGTAGTAGTAGTAGTAGTAGTAGTAGTACTAGTGGTAGTGGTGGTAGTGGTGGTAGTAGTCCTGGTAGTAGTTTTGGTCATAGTACTAATATGTTTATTATTTGTAGTCGGAGTACGAGTACTAGTATTATTCGTACTAGTGGTAGTGGTAGTGGTAGTCGTAAGAGTAGTAGTAGTACGAGTAGTAGTTGTAGTAGTAGTAGTAGTAGTAGTAGTAGGAGTAGTAGTAGTAGTAGTAATAGTAGTAGTAGTTGCAGTAGTAGCAGTAGTAGTAGTAGTAGTATTCGTATTAATACTAGTAGTAGTACTAGTTGTAGTAGCAGTAGTAGTAGTAGTAGTAGTAGTAGTAGTAGTAGTAGTCGTAGTAGTAGTAGTAGTAGTAGTAGTAGTAGTAGTAGTAGTAGTAGTAGTAGTAGTAGTAGTAGTAGTAGTAGTAGTAGTAGTAGTGTAGTAGTAGTAGTAGTAGTAGTAGTAGTAGTAGAGTAGTAGGAGTAGTAGTAGTAGTAGTAGTCGTCGTCGTCGTCGTCGTCGTCGTCGCCTCATTACGAGTAGCCGTTTTCGACGTCGTCGTAGTAGTAGTAGTAGTAGCCGCGGTCGTAGGAGTAATGGTAGTAGCAGAAGTAGTAGGAGCAATAGTAGTAGTAGTAGTAGGAGTAGTAGAAGAAGATGAAGTAATAGTAGTCGTAATGGTAGTGGTAGTCGTAGTAGTAGTCGTCGTCGCCGTAGTAGTAGTAGTAGTAGTAGTAGTAGCAGTAGTAGTAGTAGTAGTCTCAGCCGTAGTCGTAGAAGCACAGGTAATCGTAGGAGTCGCGACAGTGTTAGAGTTCGGAGTGGTTGGAGTACTCGTAGTAGTAGTAGCACTAGTAGTAGTAGCAGTAGCAGTAGCAGTAGCAGTAGTAGTAGCAGTAGCAGTAGCAGTAGCAGTAGCAGTAGTAGTAAGTATATTAGTACGAGCAGTAGCAGCAGCATCAGCAGTAATCGAAGACAGGAAACGGCACCCATGTGCCGAAACCAGCGCAAACAGTTCCAGGTTCAAAAAAAAAAAAAACGCCAGAGATTTGGTCCATGAAACCTGGTTTTAACGATCGACGAGCGAGTAGGTCGAGATGCACCGTCCTCGGGCGGCGCGCCGAGCCGACATCCGCGAGGGGGATACCGCCCTTCCGCAAATGTCTGGGGAATGTTTGCCTTCCGTTCTGGAAGTTCTGACAGCCCCCAGATGTCACACAACACGCCGTTGGCACATGAGATAAGAAGACCGGCCTGCCTACTAAGTGGGCGGGGCGATTGCGCGAGAAGCGGAGTGGGCAGTTCACTGCGAAAAGAAATAAGTTTGCACCCCCAAAAAATGTTTTTTGCCCCGATCGGCACGGGGTCCCTTGGGGTTGTGTGGAGCTCGAGGTCGACGGGGGATTTGCCCCAGACTTGTATACCGAGCTTTTCAATCGTGTGCATGTCGCAGATTGCACCACCGCGACTGCATCACCTGCACGACGTACACCGAATGCAGCAGATTGCAGCACAGATGCTGGAGCCCAGTCGTTGCACCGCAGATGTTGCACCATATACCGGGATTCATCCCAGAAGTAGCACCGCAACAGAGCGCACCGCGAGAGTACAATAAGCCACCGTCCGGGGCCCACGCCAGCAGACATTGATTCTCCTTTCAAAGGAGATAGGTTCTACCACCCCCACCCCACCCCGGACTTAACGCTCCCCCCTTTCGTCTTGCAATGTACGTATGATTCTGCCCCATCGTCCATCTTAATTGTGAACGTACACCATCCCAGGGGGGCCGGTATCGCCCAAGATTTTATGCGCGCGCATTCGTTTATCAAAAATCATAAGATGTCATTAAAAAGGGAGAGAAAAAACACCAGACGAAGTGCACACGCGCGCGTCGTCGCGCGCATGCCGAAATCCTTCAAAAACCGTTGCTCCGGAAAGATGTCAAAATCGAGTGGCCCAAAAACATGCAAAAAAAGACAGGGTTTCGCACCACGAATTCTCCAAAAATGTGCGTTCGCTCTAGCGAATTCTTGAAAAAAACATAAATAATCGGCTTTCAACATTTCCATGCAATGCTACCAAACGGGCTTCGCGCGCGCATGCCGAAATCATTCGAACGCTTTTGCGCGCGTGCCGTCGCGAGAACCCCTCGCCAAAAATTTGACGAAGTGCACACGCACCCGTCGTCGCGCGCGCATGCCGAAATCCTTCAAGAACTTCCGTTTCCGGAAATAATTCAAAATCGGCTGTCCAAAAAAAACATATATAAACACACACGCATGGTTTCGCAACACAGATGTTCAACAAAAGTGTGCGCGCTCTTGCGGATCCTTAAGAATACTGCTACCAAGCGGGTTTCGCGCGCCGGCACATGTCGAATTCGTTCAGACGCCTTTGCGTGCGTGCTGGGGTGGCACGATCCGTGTCGAATATTTCCATGCGAGCCACTCGCGCGTCTGCCGCGCGCGCTCCTCGAATTCGTTCCACAGCCTTCATCACCGGCGCGAAGACGCCATCATCGTCGTCGGCGTGATCAGCATCGGCGCCGTCACTGGCTGCCCCATCGTCGCTGTCAGCATCGTCGCCAGCATCGCTACTATCATCATCGTGTCTACCGTTGCCGACGTTGCCATGATACCGCGCCCGCCCAAGTCACCGACTCGCACTGATGTGCCCGCTGGGGCGTGCCGAGCGGTCATCGCCACCGCGTCCGCGTCGGTCGCACAAAACTAGCTGGCCGCTGCGCGCGCGAGCACGCGCGGGCTAGCATGGCCGCAGAAATGCACCAGCCAACAGCCAACACCAAGCACGCATCGCAATCGCTTCCGCATGGCGTTTGCAAACCAAGTTGCGGGTGGTGGGGTGTTTGCGAAAGAGCAAGCGATTGCTGCAACCCAAACATTGCACCGCAGATGTTGCACCATATACTAGGATGCACCCCAGAGATGGCACTGCACAGAACGCACCGCGAGAGTACAAGAGGCCAGCGTTCGGGACCCGCGCCAGCAGACACTGAACAGATTCCAACATCCCCTCTGAGGGGCTTGTCTTCGCCGCGGCTGGGTTTCCCCCCAAAGTGGTGGCAAGAATGCAAACAAGTCCGAGGGACGATTTTGGACCCCCCCCCCAGACCTCGACCGACCTCCGGCGGACTTCGTTTTTCAATCTCGGCGTTTTCCGTCCAGTTTCAAGCTGGGGGGCCCCCAGTGGCCCATGCATCGCTGACAGGGGCCCCACAGCCCACCCCTCCCAGGACCGTGCGGGTTCGTTTTGTGCGGCATATTGCCGATTCCTCGGCGATGTATTGTTGATTGCAGGTCGATGTTCCCCCGCCGCCCCCCCGTGGGCTCGTCCTTCCCTGGCGTTGCCCCTCCTGGAAGGAGCAGGTGGAGGGAAGGAGGGCCTCAGGCACGCCAGGGCTCTTCAAAGTGCGAGGGCAAGGAAGACGAGGAGGAGGAGATTTGAGACTGCGCTCGCAATGCATTGCCATTCACTCAGGAGGAGGAGGAGGAGGAGGAGGAGGAGGAGGAGGAGGAGGAGGAGGCGGAGGGGGGGGGAAGAGGAGGATGAGGAGGAGGAGAAGGAGGAGGAGGAGGAGGAAGAGGAGATGGAGGGACAGGAACAGGAAGATTCATACTCATATTCAAAAGCTCGTGGAGGCCAGGTCAAGCCTGGGTCCAAACGGTACACACCACCTCTGCGGGAAGCAACCTCCGCTTTGGGGGAGAGGCCCCTGGACCGAAGGGACAGCGCTTGCTTCCCAGCTTTAGTGGGAGGCCGATCGATGGCTTTACACACGGATGAGCAAGACTCTGTGCATTCACGGTGGCACGAGCGCCACATTGTCACAAGACATACCCCCGAAACACTTGAAGTTTGAGGAGGAGGAGGAGGGATGGGATAGGATGGGATGGGATGGGATCGGACGGGAAGGAGACAGGAGGGTGGGGAGGAGAGCCGATGTTTACCCCCATCTGGCACCCCCCCTCCCCCCGAACGTTGGCCCCCCCCCCCCCCTCCCCCGAGCCTCCTTGCCGCTCCGCCTCCGCCACGCCGCCGTCCGCCTCGGCCCTGCCGTCGTCCTCGGCCGCTGCCGTCGCCCCTCGGTCTCGGGATGCCGCCCTTCGCCCCGTCGTCGTCCTCGGCCGCTGTTGTCGTCCGCCGCGGCCCTCTGGATGAGCGGCTCAGTGGTTGGCGCGTTGGTCCCAGACCCCCTCGCATCGTGAGAAACACGGCGGGAGGTTGGTCGCTGTTTTCGGCCTCCAGGGGCCCTCACCAGGCCTCGGGACCGTCAAAAAACGATTCAGGATGAAGAACCAGCAGCTGGGAAGGAGGGGGGGGGTCCGCGTCATGAAAAAAACGACGTCGGATGTCTTGACGAGCGACCTGGTGGTTGGTGCCATGGTAGTTGTTGCTGTCTGCTTGAGCGGTTACAATCGAAGAGAAACGGCAGCATAATCATCAATGTTAGGAGTTCCGCGCGGATTTCTTGGATCGGCGCCGGGCGCTCCTGGTGGCACCTCCAGGCCACCTCTGGGGCGCTCCGCGCGCCCGGGAGGGGGGTCCAGCGACATTCCAAGAAATCTGCACGGACCTCCGAAAGTTTATGTCTATGAGTCTATCCATGTTTCTCGCTCTGCGCAAGCTACACAAACAGGCCCGACCACCAGTTCGTAATCTACGTGGTGGTTAGCTGGCATTGAATACGGACGGCCCACGCAGGATCCCCCCCATTATGGGGACTGCGAAGTGGTGGTCAGGAGCCTCGGGATCACATTTTGATGCCTCAAGCTGCGTTGGCACACCACATCAACCAGAGACCCCGCTGGGCGCCCACGGCCCTGGAAGGACCCGGACACGCCCCCGCCGGACCCGCCCGCCGCCGCCGGGACTTCCTTCCGGGCGCCGTTCGCGGCCACCGCCGCGGCCCCAGCCGCAGGCAGCCCCCCGCGCGGCGCCGACGGCGGCCGGCGGCGGCGGCGGCGAATGCGAGGGCGAGGAGAACGACGAGAAGAGGGAGCTGGGGAGGGCGGGAAGGGGGTGGCGAGAGTTGGGGAGGGAGGAGGAGGAGGAGGAGGAGGAGGAACATGATGATGAATTGGTTGACTGGTGGACGGTAGGGCCTATGATGGTCTTCGCATCGGTGTTCTTGTTTGAGAAGGTGGAGGTACATTTTGGACCCCTCCCTGCGGCCGTCTTCGATGGCCGAGAGGCCGCAGGGAGGTCCTCGGCACCCCCTGGTGCCCATTGGCGGCATGGTGGATTGGTATGTTGGCAGTTGCCGAGGGGCGGGGCCTATGATTCATCACCACCAGAGGGGCAGAGGCCTATGGTGGTCCTCGCCCGTGGGGAACAGAGGAGAAGCCGATGTCCAGGAGGGTTAGGCCATCCATGGATCCGAGGCTGGAAATCCTGACCGCGGGAGTCCTGAAGAAGGAAAGCCTGCATGAAGCAAAAATAGTGCCTCACCCTCTGGGGCGGAGGAGGGGGGGGAGGGAAGGGGAAAGGACAGGGCCTACCGCCCGCTGGTACCAACCCTGGGTAGAACAGGGCCTCCCCCTGACAGAACACACGAAAGTCAAACACGTGCTGGATTCACCGCTGGAGGAGCACATTGCTGTAACCCGCAGTGCAGGCTCTCGCCGGGGGCCACCAATGCCAGCACGCAGTTTAGGGTGAGAAGGGGCCAGTCGTTCGCAAGGGCTAGGGATAACAAATTTGGCTGGGAGTCCAAAGAATTCGTTTCGAAGTCGCGTAACGGCTTGGAGGTACGGATAGGCCAACACATCCAAAATAAGGCATCGAAAGATCCGCACCCCGCCCCACCAATGCCGCCCAAATCAAGGTTTGGAGGGAGCTGAGGTGGCGATCTAAGCGGTCATTGCGCACCCCCACGGCCCATCGGTCCTGGCAGGGGAACTTGAAGAAGGAGTGGAACAACGCAAAGGGGAGGGGCGGGAAGGGTCAAGGGGGCGGGGGAAGGTGAGGAAAGACGGAGCCGCGCCCAGAAGGTGGAGGGGGGAGCAGTCAGCGACCGTTTCTGGAACAATGTTTCATGATATCTAAGGTCGGAGTCTGGGGTGCGAGATCGAAGTGGAGCGGAGAGCCCCCCACCGGGAAATCGGTTTCGGTTTCGGGTTCGTGTCGCGCGTGCGGACGAGGCGGAGCTGCGTGGGCGGGCGAAAGGAACGACCCCGCTGTGGCTATCGTCCTGCTCCCCCCCTCCGGTGGTCAGGCAGTGACCTGGGTGTCCCGCCGTGTCTGGTGTCCCGTCGGTGTCCCGTCGCGGTGGGCGGGCGGTGGCCGTGTTGTCCCGCCGTGGTGTCCCGTCGGTGTTTTGTTGGTGTGGCGTCTGGTGTCCCGTCTGGTGTTCCGTCGGTGTCCCGTGGTGACGTCACATCGATAGTGATATCGATAGTCATATCGATGGTGAGATCGAAAGTGAAATCGTGTGGTGTCTCGATGGTGTCCTGTGGTGTCTCGTCGGTGTTCCGTCGGTGTCCCGCGGGTGCCCCGCAGGTGTCCCGTCGTTTTTTGTGGCGTTTCTTAGTGAAATCGATTGAGTGAGATCAGTAGTGAAATCGATGGTGCGGTCGATGGAGTGGGATCGATAGTGAGATCGAAAGTGACATCGATAGGAATACCCATCGTGAAATCACTTCACGACGCAGCATCGTCATCACGCGTCGTCTCCCATTCGAAGGCGCATCACCAGCATCGTCATCATCGCAGTCATCGCAGTTGTCATCAGGTGGTTCTTTCCCCCCCACCCCCCGACACAACCTCCTTTTCACCCGAAGGGTTGTCGTATAGGTAGTGCGAGTGCCGTTGCCTGGGTGCACGCGCGCTGTAACCATTGCTGTGTGTTGGCGCCCCGACGGTTCAACAATCGAGCGGCGCATCAAAATTACAGGGACTCCCGAGGCCAAGAGAGTCTGAGCGAGTTAAAGTGGTGCCTCTGGCTTGCCCTCTTTCATGATAGTGAAACGTGCACCCTGGCTACCGCCGCCAAGGTGGTGGAGCGCTTGATGTGGAACGGCGCGAGGCTGCAATAGCGCAGGATAGGAGGGGAATCGAATTACCCAGCGTAGTTAGCCGGGCAGGCCCATTGATGCCAGGCGTGCGGCGACGGCAGTGTTGTTGAGCAAGGCGAGGTGCATGCCCGCGATGACGTTCCCATGGTCGGGCTCGCTTGGCAGCGGGCAGCGTTGCCCAGACAAGGACGAGTCGACCGACGCAATATGGTTGGCAAGTGCCTTTTGCAAGTTGGGCGGGCCCTTCCAGATGCAGATGTAGTCGCCCATTTACCGCGATTCCAGAGCGAGGATCCGGACGACTAGATGTCACACACTGGACCGTTCCCCTAGGCGTTCAACACACACCAGGACCGTGCGCGCGAGCGCTCCGGCGAGAGAGCTGCCCTTGGCAAGGCCATCGATAGCGCGGCCGATGAGCGAGCCGATGGCGAGCCAGATGTTCTTGAGGCCGCGTTCGACACACGCCTCCATGTCGACGAGTTTGAACTCCAGATAGCGGTGCGGAGAAAGCGGCGGCGCATTAGGAAGGCAGTGACCATGTCCGAGTCGGCGAGTGGCTGAGATAAGCTCGATGTCCAGCGCGGCCAGCACGGACTGGTAGAAGCGCAATGATGTGCGCACTACGAGGTGGGAAACGTGGAGAAGCAATTCGCGATGTCGCTTCCGCATTTCCTAGCAGCTCCGTGGGGGGGAAGTTCATTGAAGTGCTCGGTGGAGGGGAGGATGCGGTCAGCGTGCTGGAAATCAACGCGCAGGTGGTCGGGAACGCACGCCGAGCTGACCCAGTCCAGAATGCGCGCTGGAGGGGTCTCCAGTGGCTGCGTCGGCAAATTAGCCCGATCCACCAGGGGTCGGCGGTCGCCGCGCTTCCCTCCTGCATGTTCGTCGGAGCTGAGGCAGCAGCCACTCGCCGGGAGTTCGCGCTCGAAAGCACGGCGGGCCGTTGGCGGGGCCTGACGCCCTCCGCGACAGAGGCCTGCTTCGGCACCCTGCTGGCCTCCAGGCCAGGGTGATAGTGAAAGCCCGGGTCGGACCCTCCACGCTTGAGGCCTCGCGGCATAGGAGCTGGACGCGGCGCGGGCATTCGGCGACGAGGGCGCGCCGCGGCTTTTGGGGGTTCTCCACAACAAGCCCCAAGGTGAGCCCGCGGCCGCTCGCGATGGCCTCGCGCCCGACGGCGCCGAAGTCCACCCGGCGCGGGGCGCCGGCGAAGTCGATGGCGCCGAGCGACGTCTCCGCGAGATTGGAAAGGGCGTCGCCAGAGCAACGCCAGCCCAGGTCCTAGGAGGCCCCCCGAAGTAGCGGCGACACGAGGTGGAGGACAGGCCCAGGTGTCCTGCGGCGCAAAGATGCGCCGAGCGTCATCTGGTGACTGGCAGCGGGGCAAGCCCGCGCGCAGGTGACACGGACATGGCCGCGCGTCCGCGGCGCCGAGATGTTGGGGCGAGGCGCGGTTCAGACCGCATCGCGAGGCAGCTAGACGGCACGGGCGTTATCCAAGGGCGGAGACTCGCTGGAACCATTGCTATTTGGCCATGCCCCGAGGCGACGCCGATAACGCGGTGGCTAAAGTCGCGGAAAAGCACCTGCACACGGGCGCCCTGGAGTCGTGGCGCGGCGCCTTGCGCGCAGAGGCGCGGCCAGGGCCTCTGGCGGAATCGCCGGGCGCGGTCGAGCGCGCGCATGCCGGTGGCCTCCGCGGCGCCCCCTTGGCTGCGACGGACGCTCTGCAACGCCGCAAACAAGTCGGCGGTCGCGCGGCGACGGAGATTTTGACGCCGCTGGTTAGCCGCGGCAGCCTGGAGCGCGTTGCACGCGAGTTGCGCCCATCTTGCGATGGAGGGCGCGAGGCATTTACTCGCGCCAGACGGGGCAAGGCCTCGCCCGCGCGCGGGAACGCGCCCTGCCCGCAGCGACGGCGCTGCGAGAAGCGGGCGAGTGCAATTGGGGGGGCAGCGGAAATGCGAAGTCCACGGGCACGCCGTTATACACGCATCGACGCGGGGCCTCGAGGGCCCGGAGGCGGCGCGCGCGGGGCCCCGGCGCCAGCGAGGCGCGGCTGCGCGGCCGCAGCTACGGCGTCAGAGGGGGGGCAGTGGGGGGCAGAGCCACGAGGCGGCTGCCGACCGGGCGTCGCCGCCGCCGCAGCGGCGCAGGCGTTCCACGCGGGCCCACCGACAGTCGCTTAAGGGGCGCAGGAAGGCGTAGAGGACTTCGCGAGGCGTTCCTTGAAATAGGCCATCTTCCCGACGTAGAGGAGGCGCCGCGCGCGACGGGCGGGGCGTCTACGAGGGCCTCGGCGGGGGGCCAGGTGGCCCCAGGCAGCGCGGCCGCTCGAGTACAAATAGAGGCGTTGAACTTGCGGGTGGCGGCCGCGAAGAAGTACGCGGCGAGGGCAGCGCCCAGGCGGCGGAGGGCGAAGACGCTGCCCCAAGGGAGAGAGCCACCAAGATAATTGAGACGCAGAAGACAATCTTGGAGGAGCCAGATCCCTGCAATGACAAGCACGCCCGCGGGCGGGCTCTTGGAGGCATGGAGCGCCCTATCACGGAGCACGACGCTCGCGCCGCGGGGCGCGCGTTCCCGCGGGCAGCGGGCGCGGCGCCCCCCCCGCGCCTCGCCCATGCGAGCGCTCTCCGCGGTGACGAGATGAGCTGAATGACGTCGGACAGCCTGGCGACGTCGAACACGACGCCCAAGGAATCGGAGATGCGTTTGAAGATGTCGATGGCCTCCTTCGACTCGGGCTTGCCCTGGCCGTTGCCCCCCTGCGCCGGCGGCTCGAACGCGGCATGGTAGAAACCGAACTTCGCGCGGAGCGCTGCTGAGCCTTCTGGCGCAATGGCGCGATCTTCGAGGGCCCAGTCGAGGGCGCGAGCGCCACTGGTGCGATTTTCTCGAG